TCGTTTCTCAGACTAATGATTTTTACAATAATCAGTTTTCAAACGTGCGGCGCCATAGATAACATAATAGGGGCTATTATGTTATCATTCAATTAAGGATAAGGTATTTATATTTGTTCTATTCAAATACGATATTAGCAGAATTATAAGATTGTTTTTTTCAAGACTTATTGGAATAATGTATTTAAAGTAAAAATGTCTTTTCTACATATTTTTTGGAGATAATTGAATATATTTTTAAGAACTGAAACTATTAAGCACTAATACTTTTTTACGTGACGTCAATGTTTTATATTTACAGTGTAGTTGCGGTATGAAATTGAGATGCAAATACAATAACAAAATGATATCGAAATATTTTGGCGAAAGAAATGAAGAGGTATAAAGGTTGGTTGTTATTTAAAACATGATTTAGGGTCATTAAATTCCCATTACTACTTGTATGCACCAGAAACCACCATGAGGTTCTGTGGAAAAATACATGAAGAAAAGTGCTTGCAAATTGTAATATTCTTTTTCATTGGATTTTGCTTCCAATGCCTGCTCATGCGACGGAAATTCCCCTTTTCGGTTTATTTACCCAAAATACTCTTTCAGCCGTCTGACGCCACTACTACGATATCGGTTTTATACTAAATTACTTATGGTAATGGTGTCGAATGCTGGTTGAACGAGCTCCTGCCAATTTCGTATCTATCAATTTTGCATAACATGCCGTCTGTGTTCTGTCGATATTTCCTAAATTTGACTATCTTAATTGCCTTTTTCTTTCCTGCGACTTGAATTATTTTCAAAGTGATAAATTACGACATGAGTGCGTCTGAACTCAGCGACATTTTACAGAAGGTATTTATTCTGCTGTGTTTTCTGGTGATAAAAGAATTATAATCATTCAATGAAATTTTCATTGAAAATCATTTGGTGAAAAAAATATAATTGCAATCAAATAAATTTAATTTTAAAGTAAATTTTCAAATAAAAGTGCATATATCGAAGAAGAAAATGGTTTTGATATTGAAAATGGAAATGCAAATAACAGAAGACTGAACTGGTATGAGTTGAAATTAAACCATTCATTTATTTTAATAATAAGTATGAACAGACACTATTCTTTAAAATTTCTATAAGACCCGCATGCAAGAAATAAAGATACTTAAAAACTTCCAAGAAGTAAACGTGAAACGCCTTCATACTAACTGAAAACTTCAACCACGAACTTTGAATTCGGTATTAAATGGCGAAATTATCCAGAAAATAATTAATTCAAAATACTAAAAATCAGTGAAAGTATGTGCTTTCAACAAGAAGAAGAATAATTAATTTTAATTGATCTTTCTAGAATGCAATGAAAAATTGTTCATAATATATTGTAAGGATAGTAGATCACTAATAAATGCGCCAACTGTTTTGTTTTGGAAACAGTATAACACGTCTACTGTACCTGCCCAGCTCTAGTCAGAAGTAGAGTGAACTTTTTAGACAATAATGTTTTTAGCTCTCTTCTAAAAGAGCAGCGCTAATGGATTCGTAATCAATAAACAGTTCAGATTCCGTCTTAGGTAGTGACATCACAATGAACAAATTGGTTGATCAATTAAACTAATTGCCACTGATAAACTGATAAAAATGAAAGTATCGAGAACAGTATCTCAAATATAAATACTTAAATAAATTGGGTAAAACTCCTTTTTAAAAGAATATCGTAAAGATACTACAACACTAAGCCCTTTTTTGTATGAATCACTAAATCAATGATATCAGACAATAACCAAGTATTACTTTCTAAATTACCTGAACGATAATTACAGATAATTAATTTCTGATATTATTATTTTGGAACAATATGGAGTCAAAAAAAAATGAAGGGCAAAGTTAGCAAACTGAAATTAATCAACTTAGTAACTCATAAAATATTAAATCCGTAAATGAATTACTAGAATAAAGTAATACTACATTGTGACCGAAAAGTTTTCGGAAATTCTCATTTAAAATTCGCGCGCTGTATATTTTTCGATATTTTAAGTTTATGTAGTTTGGCAGCACTGTCCTTAATTACTATGCCAAAAATGAGCGCGATCTGTCAGACAGTTCGTTTACGGCAGCTGTTGAAACCAGTTCCCCTCAGTAGTGCGTTGCGAAAAAACAATGGAAAAAAATATTGAACAAAGAGTTTGCATCAAATTTTGTGTTTCGAACGAAATTTCGTGTGCAGAATCGTTGCGAATGCTACAAAAGGCTTATGGGTAATCAGTTTTATCGAAAACTCAAGTTTATGAGTGGTACAAAGCCTTTCAGGACGGTCGTACGACCGTCGAAGACATGCCGCGTTCTGGACGACCTTCGGCCTCTACCACCGACGAAAACATTGAAAAGGCAAAGGAAATCGTGTTCCAAAATCCTCATGTGAGTGTTAGAGAGATAGCACGAGAGCTAGGCATCGGTCGTGAGAGCTATCCGCCGTAAACGGCCTCAATTGTGGAAGGATAATTCATGGATTTTTCATGACGATAATGCTCCCTCGCACCGAGCCAACATTATCAACGATTTTAAGGCCAAACATTCAATAAATACCATCAAACAGCCACCGTATTCACCTGATCTTGCACCGTGTGACTTTTTCCTGTTTCCCAAACTCAAATTACCACTCAGAGGAACGCGTTTTGAATCCATAGAAGACGAAAAACAGAATTCGCAGAGGGAACTCAAAGCCATACCGGAAAGCGCCTATAAAAAATGTTTTGATGATTGGAAGAAACGTTGGCATTTGTGTATCGCTTCTAATGGAGCATATTTTGAAGGAGATAAAATAAATATTGATGAAGATTAAGAATTTTGCGTTTTATTTAAAATTTCCGGAAACTTTTCGGTCACAATGTATATAGCATGGTCGCTGTATGTAACAATAATTTTTAAGTAACTACGTTTATAATGATGGAGAACATCTCCGTTTAACACCTTTGTATATATAATGTGATTTGAAGAGATATAAGCATATCTCACCCTTAAGGAATTCCTAATAATTACAGAACACTTTTTGGCACAGTTGGCTCTTATTATAACATAAATAAATATTTATCATACAAACAGTATTATGTCGTTTAGTATTGATTAATGTATTATTACTATTACAATTATTTATAAAAAGAATTATTTATAATATATTTTCTGAAAATTTAATAAAAAATTGATTTCATTTACTACACTTTCAACTCAATTTCGTATTTCTTGAGTCCACAAAACTTACTTCGAAAATTGCTAAACTGACCATAAAACTAATTGTTATTTTCGGAAATTTAATTAACCTAACTTTTCATTGCAAAACTGTTTCTCACAAAAATTCACGTCTTCCGAGAAAAATGTTGACCTAAGACCGAAAAAAAAGGATAAAAAGGTCCTATTTGTTTCTCCACTTTAGACGGCAATGTTTAAACTTTTTAATTAGATATTTTATGAGGCAAAAGTTAAATTTACCCATTTTAAAGAGTTAAAATCATAAACACAAGTCGTTCGAAGGATTGAGTTCATTTATATTGAGTAATACTTCATAACCTCTTACTTAATTTATTAAGCATTGAACAATTGTGTAAGAAGCACTAAACAAATAAAAATTCTTGACATACATCACTTAGAGAAATAATATATGTACACTAATATGAGAAGGAAGTCCAATATAAATTCTTTTTATATTATTAAATGTAGAAATAGGTATAATCGCGAAACAAAAAATTATTATATAAATTATTATTATAAATTATTAGCCTATATATACATACAATTTTAGAATAATACAAGTATTACTAACAACAATGATATAAGCGTTTGCCTTCCTTTAATGAGCATAGGACGTAAAACGTTATTTAGATAAGGGATTTTGCAATCGAGCTACCAACCTAAAGTAGCCTGTTTCATGTCAACTGGAGATGCACTGGTTTACAATACGTTAGACACCTATGAAACACATTAATTAAGCGATTCTTTACTGTTAATCAGACGACCGCCTGCAATTGCACTTTTAAGTGAACAAATGTTGATTGATTGAGTGCTAGATTGGATATAACGACTAAATAGTGGATACGAGTTCAGTTGATTTTAGTTTTTTATAATTCTTATATCGGTTGTATATCTAAATATAGTTCCAATTGGTAGCGGAACTCGCGTATGATTCTGAAAGTGTGATACTACAATAATACAATGACACTACAATTTATATAGGACACCTTCCTTAACTTAGGAAAGTTAAAGAAAACACCATTATTTTTAATCAAAGCATCATTTGATCGTTTTAATAAAGCAAGCACTGTGATTAATGACTATACCAGTTAGATCGGGCTGGCATTTGGGAACGGGATATGTCTTATGAAGCATACAATTGAATACAACTTTCCTCTTCTTTCACTAACACGCACATTGATTGATAAGCGAGGCTAATCAGCTTCTAAAACTTTAATCTGACTGACTCACTTTAACTTTATTTTATAGATCATTCATTCATTCAAGTCCACTTCTGGATTCTCAGGAAGATATGCTGATTGCAGGTCCGTCATCAACTAAAAGACAAATAAATGATATGACTTCTTAGCCTAGTTAAAGCCTAGTGTGGGGTAGTGATAAGCCCCCCACCCATTATAGAGTAAAAGTGCGTAATAGCACTAACTCAAGAACAAGAAGAAGAAGATTATAGATCATTCATTTAAAAACATTTTTCATGTGATAATGTTGATCATCTTTATGTTTAAGTAAGAGATTAGAAACATTCTTTGAAACAACGTGATAAAAATTATTAAAAGTAGATCTGTGATTATTAATATTGTAATTTTGTCTTCCTTTTATAAATAAAAACAAAACGAAAATAGTTTTTTTTTTATTCATAAATTCTTAATTTAAATTAAATTAAAATTATTCATAAAATAAAATTCTTTTATTTTACTTGACATAGTAAAACTAAATTTTATATAATTGGAAACAAATTATTATAAACTCGATTGTCAAAAAAAAAAAAATTACTTGTAATAAAAATCTAACTAATATAGATTCACCAAAATTTAATTATATAAGTTACACTTTCCTGGTTCCGTGTGTTATTGGAAGTAAATGGACAAACATGATAAAAACATAAAGCTAACCACAAGCCAACTTTTGGAAACAGTCCGAATAAAGCTAGACAGGCTCTCCCATAACAATTTGTAAGTTAGAATTGTGTACCTATTCTGAATTCAATAATTCAATTTTTTTTTGTGATATAGTTATAATCATTCTACTTCCAAAACTTCGGTGGATGATTATGATCCTAACAAATACCCGATTCATGTGAGTGCAAAAGCTCAATCAAACCTACCACGTGGGCATCTACAGCAAAATAAAAAAACACATCCACCGCAAAAACTGTTAAATGATAATACCAAAAAGAATAAAGTCAAAACAGACTCTCGGAGAAAAGATTCTAAATATGGAACCGTTACAGAGAAGCGAAATAAAAGTAAAGGTCGTGTAAAGTATGCTCTTCCAACCGAAATTAAAACTTTAGTGAAAGCATCCGACATGCTTTTGCAATCATCGCAATCTGATATTAATGTCCAAAAGAAACAATCGGAAGTACAGTCAAAGGAGGTGCGCTTAAAAAAAGATGACATGTTATCAACTTCTATAAGTTCACATTTCTCTACACGACCAAGGAAGAAATATGATTTTCCAAAATATGATGCAATAACTAGTCACATGCTTAAAAAAGCACCTAAAAAGAATGTTGAAAAAGTATCAACTTTATCTAATCAGCAAAAACCACAAATACTAAATATTTCTTCTCAAAGTGTCAACGACACTGTTTTTAAAAGAGATTCAATTAACAGTACCTTGCAAACATTTCTAACCAGACCACTCAATACTCAAGAAATACCAGAAATGCAAATTGATTTGGAAAATAATTATAAGCTCATGCAGCGAGTTAGTCTTAAGTTGGAGTCAATAGATTTCACTTCACTAAGGAATCAAGTCAGGGGCATAAATTTAAATACCATAGAAATGAAAATTGAAGATCCAATAAAAATTATAAAGCAGAAAGAGAGAAATTTAAAGGATGTTCCCGACTTAAATAATTTTCATGATGTATGCAATGTTCTAAGTTGTATGGAAAGATGTCCACGTTACCGTCTACCAAAATAATAATTTAGAACTTATCGTTTATTTTTTAATCTATTATATGTGTTTGTATACAAAATTTGAGAAGAACAATATTACTATATTTTTAAACAGCCGTAAGATGATACGAATCATTCTTTTGATATTCTATATTATTAATGAAAATTGTAACTGTTATTGTTTTCTAAAAAAAAAAGAAAATTCTCTAAAACAATAAATTCAAAAACATAAACATTTATGGGTATCAATTAGCTCCTTATGAACCAAGCATAAAGCCTATACATAATAAAAATTCGTTCAGCCGGGTTTTGCCCTGACACAGAATGTATTTTCAAGCGCCTCTTTTACATGCGCGCCGTTCCCAAACTCGTAGATCAAGTTCGGTTAGTGCTCTCTCAAGTTGGTCACTCTACCGTTGACACGATCTACCTCTAAACCTTATTTCTTCAACTACTGCTTCAAATATCTTTTTTGCTGGATCATATTTTCCCGATATAACCAAGCCAACGAAGCCGCTGGATGTTAGTTCGCTGAATGATATCAGTGTCGTGATAAAGTTTGTACAGCTCGTGGTTCATGCGGATGCGGTAGTCGTCGCCAACTCGTAGAGGACCAACAATTTTAAGAAAAAAAAATATACCTTATTTGAAAGTCAATTTTATTTATAGATTAATGTTAGCGTCATCAAAATCATGCGTGACGTTTTGGGGAATATAGTTCATGAGTCACAAAAACTCACTCAGATCGCATTCTCACAAGTAGATGGTAACTGAAGCTGATGTCAGAGCTCCATTTGAGTAGAACATCTTTGAGATAAATTATTAACATTTCATTTAATTTAAAATAAAAACCCCGAGGTAATTAATAATATAATATAATATTTTATAATACAGCATTGTAATCCGTTATTAAGCACAAATTCCGTTCTGGTTTAAACGACATAAAATTTACATTTGTATATATTAAATAAATATAAATGCATTTGTATGTAATACTTTTGTTAATGTAATATATATAAAAGCATTTTCAACCAAAGTATGCATTAAAAATAAAATAATTTTGACAAAACTGTATTATTATAATTCAATGTTAAAACTTCTGTTTCACAAAATACTTAAAAAAATTTTTTGTTTAAATTACTACACATTTAATCCTTCACAAACGGTGATTTAATATTCATCTCTACTCTGAGGGAGGCTTTGATATTTTTATACCATAATAGCTAAAAGTCTAATTACTAGGAACTCTTTGGAAACTATATTAACGTAAGTAAAGTATTCACATCAGAAAATTTGTTCTGCTTCAACGAAATCATCTTCCAAATATAATGTGGATATTAATATCGAAAAAAAAATTATTTCTTGTTAAATATTAGACCTTGAAGATCTATTATTATTAAGACTTTTAAGAATTGACATAAACTTATTCAACGATATCATCAATTTGTGAATTATTATTATTTAATTACTTAATAAAAGCAATTGTTTATTTAACGATCTTAAGGATGGAAGGCCATGTTGATATTGAAACAACCCACCTACTAGAAGCCGTTTGTTTAAAACTGGAAAAGTTGCTTGTACTTGGAGATATAGATGCAAAAGAAACGTAAGTTAATAAAGTAAAACATTGGTATAAATTTGAATAACATATTCTAATTTAATTAGTGAAAATTCGAAAAATATGGAATGCTCAGATTTGTCCCCTAAACAGCTATACAAGTTCTCATCGAGAACGGATAAGGAGTGTGAAGAGGAGGGAGTGCAATCACCTTCCGTTCAATCCATGATTAATTTAACTTCAAGCAGCCACGATATGAGTCCTGGGACGATTCCTATATCTGGCAAGGGAATCAATATAGGCACTCAAACTTCTAATAAAAATAAAAACAAGAACAAGCGGTCTGGAAAAAAATCTTTACCTACAGCTACAAAATCTAAGTATGGTAAGGCTAACGACAAACCCCGCTAAGGTTGATGAAACTAAAACAATTTCATATTTTTATACAGACTGTAAAATTAGATATGAATTACTATAGTTTAATCTTTTAATATTTTTTTTAAATCAAATAAATTAAAACAAACGCTTTAATTAAAACTAATTCTAACTACAAATTTTTGACCGCATATCTCACTTAGGTTATGGCGGTTATCTTATGAATACAGATTGGACATATGACAAAATTGTGCAACCTAAAATACGATCTTATTAATGTTGTGAACATCTTTTATATATAACATATATTTGTTATAAATTACAAATATAGTTACAGACTACAGTTTATTTTATTTTATTTATTTATGGTTAGCTAAAATAAGTTTAATACTCTCTACTAACGGCAAGGTTTCTTCATAACCGCTCTCCACGCCTTGACTGTATTAATATTTATCACTTCATCAGACTAAGCAATAATTAACCTTAAATTAACAGGTAAGCCTGTTCGTTTTCGTGAATAGTTTCAGGGCTCAATCCTTTATTTATTTTTTGATCGGATCAATCTTGAGGTCTCTGAAATTGTCATTCGTCCTAATGTACCACGGGACCTTGAAAAGTCCTCTTAGAGTCTGGCTTTGTGCAATATCCAGCTGGCGAATAGTACTGTTTGAGGCTTTGCTAAATACTACACACATATATAGAAATGTCGGCCTAATTATTTACTTACATATATATCAGCTTCCTTTTTTTAGCATTAAGATTGTCATTTTTTAATAGCGGTTGAAGGTGAAGATCTAAAGAGATTCTTAGTGCTGCTATATACAAACAGATATTTGAATAAATTATACAATGTTTAACTTTGATTTAATTATTTTAATTATTTAATTACTGCAATTAATAATTAAAATATAAAAAATAAATAATAATGTTATATTATCAGAAACCTTATTTCTCATATTGCTATATATTTATAAAAAAACAAATTTATTATTACGTTATATGATATAATTTTGTCAATTAGTGTTATTGAGCAAAAATATCTATAAATATTTTAAGAAAGCAACAACAAAAATAGATTTGGTTTAGTCTATCTTATAATTTAAACTGAACTACAAATTTTCTACCTAAACTTTGTTTTGGTTTTCTATTACTTCAATAACACTGAACTTGAACGAACAGGATTTAATATATGGGAATGTTTATTATGTTATCTTATGGGTAATAAAACACAGATAATTAGCAATCAAGGTCAAAATAGGATATTGTTTACAAACAAATTCATTGCCGTAAAGATACAGTACCTGTCATGTAGAGATCAAAATTGTATAAATAGACATGCGAACTCATCAATACGGCATTCAAACTTTGCACTTCGAGTAAAGATCACATTTGAATTATTGAAAATAATTGACCGACTTATTTAGCAATGGAGATTATGAAATCTACTGTATATTGTCTAAGAATCAATTATTCCGGAATAGTCAAAGAAATCAAGTGCGAGTCAACTTTCAATTATATGGACGTTTTACAACAAAGTAAGTATGAATACAAATATTCACATTTATTTTATTTATTATTTCAAAATTAATTAAACTATAATATTTTATTATATAAATTATAAAATTAATTCATTATTTATTTTTTTATCTTTTTTATAATTTCAGTTGTTGACGCCTTTAATATGCCTAACGATTATAAAGATGCGATAATTTTATCAACTCGATATGGAAATGTAATTAAACGGGAATTTTTTGAGCGAGTCGTTATGAAGAATTCATCAGATGGTAACATGTATTATGTTACACTGGACTTGATGAAGCATAAACCAGAGAAGTCAAAGGTCGAAAGTAGTAATGAAGTGGTGTCCTCACGTATGGAATTGAGAAATAAAAATAAACGGAAGTTGGAAATAGATGAAGATGAAACTAATGGCGCTGTACCGGTATATAGACAAAACTGCTTTATTGTGTCATTTAATGAATATACAAACGAAATTAATGGAGATCAACCTAATAATCATGGACAATTTAAAAAACGACTTTGTGTGGAAAAAAATTTTAAAATATTTAAGAATTCACTTAAACGTACTAGTTTTAATCAAAATAACCGGAAACGTGGAATTCGAATTTGATTAATAACTATTAGAATTCAATATATATTTGTGACTATGATGAAAGAAAATAGTAGTTAGATAGATTAATTATTATTTTTTAAATATCTTATTTGTTCTTAACTATAAAATTCAAATAGTGTTTATTATTGAAAAAAGCAAAAAATGTGAAATGTAAAAATTAAATTATTTATGTTCTATTATTAAAAAGTTTTTAAATAAAATTGAATTTAAAAAAAAAATTAAATAAATGTTAAAATTAAATTATTTTCTCGTATTTAAAGCAAAACCAAAACATATGAATATATTTGAATACTTGCGCCAAAAGTTCTCTATGAAAGATTTTAAAAATTCATCTCAATTATACCATATACTATTTTTTTTCGTATAAAACATTATATAGATATAAATTTTTCTGTGGTGAAAAAATCAATTGACGATCTGTCTGGTTTTAATCAAGTCCACTTATGGTATACTTTAGTTCAAAGGCGCTGTGCCAATATTCCAGAGAAATTTAATTCAATTAGTAATGTGTTATCTCGAAATTTGTAGATACTCGCAAAACTTACTCTCTGCATATTAACATATTTCAACTAAAAAATTTAAATTTCCAATCAACGAATTGAACAGTCTGTAGAAAAAAATGAAAAGAATGAAAATATATTAATGTAGCTTAAAGATATAATTTCTAAAATTATATCCTTAGAATAAAATCTAGCTGAAAATGGTATACCACATCTGCTCTCGTTTTTCAAGGCTCAAATTTTTCAAATATTCTCGAAGTTTCTAAATTAGTGATTCTATTATGAAGTCAATTATTATTATCATTCACAGATCTGTAATATAATATTGCTATGTTTTGCGTTTCGATGTTGTATGACTCCTCATTTTCCACGATAATTGTTTTTCCTTAACAAAAAAACTTAAGGGTTCCATAGCAAGACTACCCCATTTGACCGTTGCAAATATATCGAAGTTCGTATCCATTTACTTGCGACTTTAGTACATTATTAAATTTCCTATTTTCGTTGTTAGTAAAGTAGCTGCGCTATTTTTAAAACCATTTTTCTATCTAAATCAATAAATAATTTCAACTAAATTTATTTGCTAAAATGATATCCAGAATCTAACTAACTTGATGAAGTTACTTCATAGTGACAACATTCTGAATTCAAAACTGTTATTTTGCATTAGTAGCAATTCAAACCTATATTTGTGGAATGCTGAACTTATTTAAAGGTAAGGAATAATCATAAAGTACGTTTTCACATCGAGCAAATTGTGCTGTCATTTATACAAACTATCTATTTGACTTCACATAGCTAAACTCCTGTCCCAAGATTTGAACTAAATCATATCAACTAATTTACGAAATATTTGCTTCCCAAATGTCAACTCAGCAGAAATGTACCGAAAATTCCTTTTTACTTCTGCGATTGTGGAGCATTTAAAATTTCACACACGTATTATTTTTTAAAGGTCGGAGGTTCAAGGTGTGTTGACAACTCAAATAACGGCGTGAGGGTCTGTTTACGCAACTATGACCACAAAATTGACAGTTCGGTTTGGTTGGTTATTTATATTTTTATTTTTATTATGTTTCATTTGAAAAGGATTGGCATACAATTTAAATCTTTTCCTTTTTTTTTTATTTCAAAATATTTGAAATAAAAAATTACAAATAAAATGGGTTTTATTAAAATCGTTGTGGACATATTTGTTTAGAGTTTTTTTTTAGTTATTGAGCATATTGAGCATATATCATTTCCCACACAAAAAAACGATTAAGGAATCTTACTTTACGGTCTTCTACAAACTTATAAGATATAAAAATTAATTTAAATATTATTCTTGTTTTTATTTAGTTCTGTATGAATTTTTTTAAAAATTAATTTAAAAACATGACATTGATTAAATAATAAAACGTATATATTTAAATGAAACTCAAAATAGTGGAAGCACAAGCTGCATAAACATGCATCTATGCTTCATAATTCGGAAACTATGAAGTTTAACTTGTTGTAGAAGAGAATCGAATATGCGCAAGTACTGGATAAAATTGTAACTGTCTCTCTTCCCTGCTGACAATGCGCTCATGAGAGTATACTCGCATTTAAAATAATAAGAGTTTGCATAATAATATATTTAAATTAATTAAACTTCTGCCAACGATTCTCATGTTGTGACATATTTACAGAAGACAGAGCATTGCAACTGCAGATTGAGCCCTACATTTTTAGTTCAGTTTCCAACAAGATGGAGCATGAAAGTAATAATTTTTTTATTATTATATTATATGTTGTTTTATTTTTATAAAATTTCAAATATAGAATTATATTCTAGTATTTTATTTTCAATTTATTTTATATACAACAGTTATTTCTTATGTAAATCTCGCCGGCATTCTGAAATAAATTCAACATTTTCTCATAACGAAAAAAAATTAAAATAAATATAAATATTGTTTAGAATAATAATATTTTATTTGGAAAAAAAATAATTATATAAGAATTTTATATTGAGTTGCAAAAAACCCCTTAAGGAATAACAAAATTGAGTAAATTTTCAAATCCAAAAACCTTAATATTGATATAATTTGTTTTACATTTTTTGAGTTGTTACGTCGAAAATATTTTAAAGTCTATTTTGTTTTTTATGATTTTATCTTTTATTTCGATCGTATTTTTTATATATTACTATACGTACTTCGGTTAAAATTCTAAAAAAACAATACCAACTTTAATATTGATGTTATACATGTGCAGAATTATATTTTAATTATTAAAAAATTAACAAAACGTTTATACTAGTCACAGATTTATTTTAGAAGACCGTACTCATTAAACTTGTTAAAAATAATATTAACTTCATAGAAACTTAATTAGAATCTCTTAAGAAATTTTACTTTTTTCACTCACAAATGAAACTTGATTTAAATTTTATTAAATATTTCGCAATTTCATTTTATTTTTTAGCGTTAAAATTTTTTTTTATTATAATTTAATGTCAATTACACAAATTACTTATTTTACTTTATAACATCAACAAGAATAAAAAAGAAGTCGTTCGTATGCTTAACCTATCAAATTCACATCAGCCAATTTGTCGAAGTCAAATTGGTTGCATTGCAATAAAAAATAAGTTTAATAAACAAAAACCTACTCATCGTCATCATCGTCAATGATAGCAAACCGACGGCGTTTGGCAGGTCCTTCTTCGGTTGCTTTTGTCTCCACCGACTTCCTTCTTGCAATGAAGTTATCAGACTCGTTTTCGTCATCTGTGTCTTGTGCACTTTTACTATCAATATTCTCAGCATCACTTCTACTTCCACTTGACCGTTGACGTTTTTTGTTATTCTTGAGTGTACTGTCGTTATCATTAATTCCTACTGAAGTATCTTTTAAATTATGATTGCTATTATCTTCGTTTTCGTCGTTTTCCTCAGCAGCAATTAAATTCGCCGTCTTTTTATATTTGTAATCTGTGCTTTGTTGACTCGTTTCAATTTCATGTTCATCACTATCTGAATCAATGATTTGAGCTCTTCGTGAACGATTTGTGTTAACAGCTTTCTCGTTGCCATTTTCTTTAACATCATCATCACTGTTCAGTGATTCAGCTTCAGAATCACCTAATTCTAATAAGCGCTTTCGGAAATCTTCAGAATTAAAATCGAGTTCATCAATTTCTTCATCATTGTTCTTTTCTTCAGCAACCATATCCGATAATTTTAACTTATTTTTACGTTCAGTTTTTAACTGATCAAATTTATTGTCTGAGCCTTTCTTTTTATTTTCTATCTTTTTGTTTTTATTTGAATTGGGCTTCTTTGCTTTTACTTTTATAGGTTCACTAATTTCCTCATCACTGGATATATAATCATGTTTCTTTTTTCTATTTAATTTCATTTCTATTTCAGTCACCGTTTCCAAATCATCTTCAGATATCTCAACATTCTTCAATTTTGAAGTTCTTTTCTGTTTATGCTTCTTTTTCATAGGTTCTTTTTCTTCATCATCACTTTTATTAAACATTATGCTGTTCATTTTGTTTCTTAGTGTATCAAAATAGTCCTCACTTTCTTCATTATAATTTTCATCATTTCCACTTGCACTTTCCTCGCCGCTCTCCTCTTCATTATCATCTTCTTCAACTTCAACCGCTTCAACTTCGATTTCTTCTCCTGCTAGAATTTTTGTTCTTGCTTTTAAATCAGCAGAATTTAAATAAATTGGTATACGCCAATAATTTTCAATGCCTAATATCGGTGGTTGTATGCCCAAAGCAATTAGTACTTTTTGGAAATCTTTATCTTCCATCGCTTCTCTACATATCGGAAGTAACGGGACTAGTGGTATGCCATCATCTTCTTCAGCTGGTTCGTCCGTATCATCAGCAGCATCATTTAAACATTCTTTTAACCATTCTACCGCTTCCATATATTTCTCGCTATCAACTTGTTCCAAAAGAGCTCTTATTGTTCCAACATCAAGTGGAGTGCGGATGACTTTACGTTGCTTTGGTTTGGAGGGCTTCTTGTTTTTGACTTTGCGTGTTGTTTTTGTTGTTTGTTTGTTATCCAAAGATGCTATGGATTCTATTCCGTCATCTTCACTATCGCTATTTTCGTTATTTTTCTGTTTTCTCGATTTTGACTTTTTAGGTTTTGGTGGTAATATTTCGGACTTGTCAGCTATAATATGTAATTGTAACATCCTTTTGATAATTTGTTGTTTGTTTCTCCGATCAGAAAATTCTTCCAAAATACGCTGTAAACATACTGTAAAGGAAATAGTAACATAATCCTCTTAGTAGTATAAAAGTAGTATATTAAAAATTTTTTACCTTCTTCTGTTCTATATTGATCATACAAACTTCTCAATTCCTCATCCTCTTCAGGTCTCCAAAGATTTTTTTTCGCTGCTGCATTTGCTGTCGTGCGTTTTGTTGGAGCTTTAAATTGTAAATCCATATCCTTTAGTTTCTTTAGTATGGCACGTCGTGTGCGTGTCTTGTCAACTATGTTATCCAAAATCCAATCAATCACATCTGGAAACACAAAATTAGTTTCAAGTTTATTAAGAGCAATTGAAAGCAAATACTTCAGAAATGTAAAAGGGAAGTGTTAATCAAGTAGATTGATTGAGTGACGAGACAATTGAGTATTATAACCTAATGTGCCAAAGTGCACGGGTTGACCATTTTTTCCATAGAGAGAAATAGTTTGCAGAAATTTTAAATGGTGACAATTGATTTATTTCTATTATATTTTATTATATTAAATAGATTTTTTTTCAAAATTTTAATACAATTAAAAATATTTTTAATTAAAAATCTGAACTCTATTGTTGTGCATTAAGTTATAGTGAGAAAAATATAAAAATATATGTTTATATGTTTTTGTATATATTAAATGTTTCATTTGAGTCTTAGACTGTATGTTTTAGAATATGAGACTTAAATATTTCATGACACCTAAGAGAGTTAATTTTCCATTCCTACATTCGATTCATCAACTATCTTGGTTAAGTGAATTTAATCTTAACTAAGAGATTTACTACACTTTGTCGTCATATTATGTATATTTAACAATAACTAAGCAGTCATTGTAAAGTGATAAGAATTGGTATTACACTAATTTAACTCTTAACTGAGATAGTATTGCCACGTTTTCTTATTAAATGTTTATTAAGCTTATTCTTATTAAATGTTTATTAATTATAATGCTATTCTAGTTAATATTTAAAATTTAAAATATTTAAATATTAAAAATTTAAAATATTTAAAATTTAAAATTTATTTGCAAACATATATTGGTTTACCGTATTGAATACAGCAAATATTAACTGAGATACAGAGTGCCTGGAAATTACCTGTCCAAAAATGAAAAAAAAATGTTGTGTTAACTTGAGATAAGAATTGATACTTAAATTAATTTATATAATGTAACCAATTTCGAGATATAGACTTTATAACTGAAGATCTTTTACGAGTAGACGTTTTACTTGATTTTGTTAAAATATTACTATAATTTAATATAGTTTAAAGCCTGATAGTTACTGTCTTATATATATGGACAATTAATCCAAAGATACTTTTCAAATATGAAAGATAACTGATGCTAAATATTTGACGGTATTAAAATAAATATGTAAATAGTTGTTAAATTATTCATTTAATTAATTTAAAAGAATTTTCAAAAAAAAGTCCAAACAAATTATATACAGACTATAAACTAATTAAACAGAAATTCAAATATTTTCTAACCCCACTGATGATGAGTACGTAGCGATACTCGAAACAGCGTTGCATGGTTAGCTAAATTTATATAAATTAACTAAATTTTTGTTCTTGTCTTTTCCTTGCTATTCAAATCCGCCTAACTTTTAAATAGTTTCTTTATTAAATTGTTTATGGTAAAGAAATGTTTTTAAACTAATTATTTCGGTTATTATATTTTTTTATACAATTGATTTGAGAAATTTTTTTATTAATTTCTTGTATTTGGAAATTAAGTTTAGAATTGGTTCAAATTTGTATTATTTGAACAAAATCACAACTATATTATCAAACGGAATATACATTTGATTTCAGACAAAATATTGTTGTTTTAATTTATTATAGTTTATAACAAATACATAATTTTTAATGAAAATTTGGTTCAGAATTCCTTATTATTAAGTCATTGATGGATCTTATTAAACTCTAACACGTTAATTAGGAATTGAACGTAAAATTGCATAAGCAAATTTAAAATATCATTCCGGTCGAATGTGAATAGCAGTAACTAAGGGATTAGCTGGAATGAAATTATCTGGATCACTTAATAAATATGGATTTATTAAAGTTACTAGATTTATAAATATAATTAGGATAATAAATCTGGTAATATCTAAAAATGTGAAATAAGAATGGAATGAAAGTTTATCAATATTTAAATTTAATCCTATAGAGTTATTTGATCCTGTTTGGTGAAGAAATAAAAAAGAAATACCTTCTATCGATAAAGACTCCCTATAGTCTGTTAAGGATTCTCTTATCCAGTTTGTCAATTATATTTAACCAGCTAAATAAAATATCAAAACTATGTTTATACTACGCTTTTATGTAAATGTGAGTGGTATTTGTTTTAATTATTTGAGAAATTCTTTAACATTGAAAACATTAAAGCAAAAAGAAAAGGAAACTTTAATCATGAATTGAAAAAAACCAAACAAAAACCAATGAACAGACCAATGATTAAATTGCTGACAATCAAAGCACTCATAAGACAATAAAATTCCGACAATAAAAAAAACTAAACTAAAACATTAAAACTGTCAACGTGAACCAATTGCCTTTTCAATAATTCATCATTGCGGTTATGAGAGTGAACAGAAAAACCCCAAAGGGCGTTTTGCACAATAAAGGCTTCGTCGTCGTATCATGCACATTTAACAAAATCAAACCTAAACTTACCCTTATCAGTTTCAGGATTGCGTTGATTCTCCTCAAACAGAAAACGTAGCTCGGTTTCTTGTTCCTCCGACCAAACACCTTTGGCGCCCCTGTAAATATAAAACTAGTTAAAATTCTGAACTGAACACAGAATAGAGGGTGTTGATGCAGAAAACATTCATTTATCATTAATTTTGAATACTTAAAGCGAACGAAAAATCTCAGCCGTAGACACATTTTCATTTCATTATGATTTCTTAATTTAAAATGTCTCTAGGGAGATTTTATTGAATATTGGCATGGATACTCACGATTCGTATTCATTACAATAGCCAGATTCCAACTCATTTGCCTCTTTAATTGATTTATAAAATAATAATTCCGCATAGATTTTTGGGTTTGAGGGGGCGACTTCAGCAAATTTACGTATAACGAAGATAGCAAGACGACGCAGCTCTTCCTGGTGGGCATCACGACCTGCATTGAGGACTTGTTGAAAAATAAGAAAAAGTTTTGCCTACAGAGAGAAAGTAAGGTCCGCACAAGTAAAGGTTAATGTAATATTTGTAAAAGTTGTTGAAAAGTTTGTTTTATTTAAAATAGTTTAAATTTAATAATAATTTAAAAAGAAAATAATTTTAAACATGTGTAACTTCATTAAAAATGAAAATTCTTTTTACATCTTAAATTCATTATTTTTTTTTTTTTATTAAAAACAATGTTGTTTTTCATGTCCTAATTAAATCCGACAAGAGCCTAAAATATCTTTAAATTTGTTAAAAGTTAGTTTGAATACCGCCAACTTACTTGGAACAACATAGCTGAACATGAGCAACCATATGCGATGCGGTGCAGAATGGTAACAGCTGCCTTCAAGGATGTAGTTGGTATCCGTGCCCAGTCGGCGAGCACCACCGTACAAGCGCGTACTATTTTCGGATTTAACAGTCTGAAAGAATAAAATTAAATTAAAATTATAAAACCAAAGTAAAATGGAAAAGAAAATACAAGAAAAATTAACAATGGCAATAAATTTAACTTTTATTTTAATTGACAAAATAAAAAGTAGCTTAAACAATGAAATAAAAACATTTTAATTGTTCCATTAGCTAAGCAGCAGTTGGAACTGCGCTTTGAAGTCAAAATTGCGCCAAACTTTTTTAATGGAACACAATAAGGAAAATACTTGTCTATGGAGGACAAAACGATTAGAGGCAGCCGACAATAAAAATGGCTGCCAACTTCAATTTCGCCTTTCATTTTATTCATTTTATTTTTACTATACATTATAAATTCCTTTTTTACATTAGATTACGTTTGACTAAAATGACTTTTGACGTTTATCTATAATTAGTTCCCTTGTGGGCAGCGCGTTTTTGGTGCCTCTATGTGAGAATAAACACTCACAACAACAATTACTACAAGTCCATTAAAGGATCGAGAGCAAATAAAAAGGCTGCAAACAAATTTAATTACCGCCAGATGTCATATACTAAATTCTTTCAATATATAATATACAAAATGCTAATAAAGTAATTTGCATCATAAAAATCACAGAGCATTTATTTGATTAAAAGTCAAAAGTGTAGTATAAGCCTGACTTGCTAAAGATTCAATGCTTTAAGTAAATAAATTACATAAAACCATAAAACAATTTTTTTGTTTATTGGTAGGTCGGATGGAGTGGCGGCATGTTTCTAAAAAGCCCAATTGAGCTTAAATTATGGGTCAGCAGCAAAAGTTATTAATTAAACTAACAAATCTTTTCAAAGACTATTGATGATAGATATTTTTTTGACAGCTTTATGGTCAACCCAAGAATTTACTTGGTAAAAAAATTTCCTTACTATCACAACACATTTAGAATCGAAACTGGCGTCTTCTCATAAAACATAATATGCTTAATAGAAGTAACTACAGTTATTATTAATTACTAAACGGTATTGATAAAAAAAAATATAGTTCTAATAATATAGAACTATATATAGTTCTAATAATATAAAAAAAATTTATAGTTCTAATAAAAATTAATTATAAATTAGGAATAAATATTATTGAAAAATAACAAAAACCGATGGTACTTGCTAAAAATCATATAAGAACAATTACATAAAGAAAAAATTGCCAAAAACAACTAATTATAGTTATAATTATAGTATTTGGCAATACCCGAAATATCTATATTATTTTTATATACAACAGCTAATTTTTGTTGCATTTCCTTATTATTTACCAAGTCCATAAATTCTTGGAATCTTTCATATCCATCTATTCGAAATGTATAATGAGAAAAAATGCGAAATAGAAATAACTCATTATTATTTACCCAGCCCACAAATTCTTTAAATCTTTCATATCACATCTTTCATATCCATCTATTGGAGATGGATAATGTCTAAAAAATGCAAAATGAAAATAACTGCTCTATAACTTTATGCTATCTTGCATAAAAAAAGAGCAATAAATAAGTATAAAACAAAGTATTTATGTTATATATTACTTTGTTTATATGCTATATCCAAATCGAGTCATCACTATATTGTTATATAAATATCATTGTTATATATATAATGCTATATTTATGTACTAAGCTAGTAATACTTTGTCTACATTTCATCCATAAAAATTGTTTACATTAGAAATGAACTACAAATTTTCTACCTAAACTTTGTTTTGATTTTTTTATTACTTATTAATCCTTTACTTGAACCAACAAGTTTTTTTAGTTTTTATTATCCAAAAGGTAATAAAACAGATAATTAGCAATCGAGGTCAAAATAGGATATTGTTGACAAACAAATTCATTGCCGTAAAGATACAGTACCTGACATGTAGAGATCAAAATTGTATAAATAGACATGCGAACTCATCAATACGGCATTCAAAGTTTGTACTTCGAGTAAAGATCACATTTGAATTATTGAAAATAATTGATTTTATTAATAAGACCGACTTATTTAGCAATGGAGATCATGAAATCTACTGTATATTGTCTAAAAATCAATTATTCCGGAATAGTCAAAGAAATCAAGTGCGAGTCAACTTTCAATTATATGGACGTTTTACAACAAAGTAAGTATGAATACAAATATACACATTTATTTTATTTATTAATTCAAAATTATTTAAACTATAATATTATATTATATAAATTATAAAATTAATTCATTATTTATTTTTTTATAATTTCAGTTGTTGACGCCTTTAATATGCCTAACGATTATACAGATTCGATAATTTTATCAACCCGATATGGAAATGTAATTAAACGGGAATTCTTTGAGCGAGTCGTTATGAAGAATCCATCAGATGGTAACATGTATTATGTTACATTGGACTTGATGAAGCTTAAACCAGAGAAGTCAAAGGTCGAAAGTAATAATGAAGTGGTGCCCCCACATATGGAATTCAGAAATAAAAATAAACGGAAGTTGGAAATAGATGAAGATGAAACTAATGGCGCTGTACCGGTATATAGACAAAACTGCTTTATTGTGTCATTTAATGAATATACAAACGAAATTAATGGAGATCTACCTAATAATCATGGACAATTTAAAAAACGACTTTGTGTGGAAAAGAATTTTAAAATATTTAAGAATTCACTTAAACGTACTAGTTTTAATCAAAATAACCGGAAACGTGGAATTCGAATTTGATTGATAACTATTATAGAATTAAGAATATATTTGTGACTATAATGAAAAAAATGTTAATTTTTAAGGATTAAATATCATATTTATTTTAAAGTATTATGTTAGATTTAAGTGAATTATTATTAATAAGTTAAATTTTAAATTTAAGTAAATTTTATATTATTTTGGTTTTTATATAGGTTTATTTCTTAAATTATAATTTATTTTCGCGAATTAAAAAGGTTTTAAATAACATTAACAATTTACTCAAAATATGATTTATGATTTATGAAAAATGTTGGAAAACCCGAACTTGATTCATGGATTCATGGTTTCAAGTTTGTTTTTGTATTCGTATGATCCATGTCGAAAGTTCTCTTGTTTTTCACTCAGCCGCCTGTGCTCAAAAGTGTTAATATCTTTTAAATTAACACTATCTTAATTCAGACACTCTATGTATCTTTTCAATACTTTTTATGAACTTTATAGATGAAAACACTTGTGATTCGAAAAATTTTACAATTTCCACTCCATTTATAACATATACTTCGATTTTTCGATACTTTTAAGTTCTATCGTACTAAATTTTACGATAGTAATAAATTCAATCAACGATCTTTCCGGTCTTAGCTGATATAATTAATAGAAGGAATAATTTACTAGTATTGAATTCTACAAACAAAAACTCGGAAGTTGTACAAATAGGCTGAATGTCTAATAGAACTCTTACAAAACTGACTTTCCAAAGAATTCTTAAAAGTTTTAAAACTCAGTTGTGTAAACTGCTTAGTTGAATTAAAAAGATTACTGATATAACAATATATTTTTATTAAATCATTTCAATTGTTCATAAGACGATAATATAATGTTGTATCAACTTTTCTTTTTATATATCGACTTACCTTTTTGCAAAATCTTCAAATTTGAAAGTTTTTTCAACTAATCCATTATCTACAAAAAAACTATAAATGTTAATTTCAATATTTTAAACGGAATATTTACTTACCTTCATATTCATCGTTTTCCTCATCACCAAGATCATTTTCATCATCAACAAATTCATTCTGTTCAGCGTTTTCAGTATCTTCAACTGAAAAAAATAGATATTTTTTAGCATTGGTATTGAAAAAAATTTGTTATTCTTACAAGTATTTAAAATTAATTAGTTAATAATTAATAAAGTACTCAGTACATATCTGATTTGTAAAAAAAACCCTCATCATATATATTAGAAACTCAATGTAAACTTTCAAAGCGATACCCTACAAATTCGAAATAGTATAAGATTTCAGAGATGCGCAGCAAAAAATTCGGCTCAATAGAGCAAAGAAGCAGTTGCGCGCCTACTTTTACCGAATTACCGAATTTTGTATTCACCAAAGACAAAAATTTCACAATTGGTAGATCTGATTGATTTGTGAACAATTCAAATTATTGTACTTACTTGACTATAATTCGACGACTTTCAAGCTTCATAGCTTATGATGGTGGCGTTTAACGGTCTCTCTCGGTTTGCTTTTAGATCGTAACATCAGAGATAATGTACACATGGAAAAAGTTTGGAAAGGAACAACATTCAACAATTTATTTCGTTCACACAATAGCTTTCATGGGGCATTTTTTATATTGAAAACTCGAAATATTCATTCATTATATCAGTTTCCAATATACAATATCATATACAAATATAATATACAAATATCAATTTCCAATTAAAACATTATTATGCAAAACAGCTGGGTTGTTGCTTCGTGTAATATTATCAGATTATTAAACTATGAAACTTACCAATGATATCAAAAATTGATATTGGTTATTCTGATAACCAATAAATGATATTAGAAAGAGAAAATATGGCTGGCTCGGTCATACTCTTAGAAAAGATAAGAGCACTATAGCTCCTTCAGCCTTAGAATGGAACCCGGCTGATCAAGAAGAAGAGGACATCCAAAGACAACATGGAGACGAACAGTATACACAGAAACATCAACTTTTTATACATAATACAGCATAGCAGTACAGACATTTTTCGCTATTCGACAATTAATAATAAAAAAAAACTTGCAGAACCTCTTAAAATCTGGAAATAACTCATACATATATAGCACTGATCAAATTTGAAAGTATTCGCAAGATAAATGTATTAGTCAAAGAATATTATATTTTGAATAGAAAATAAAAGTAGTGAAGATACAAGTTGCAAAGTCTTATTAGGATAATACTGCTGAAGTTGTGTCAAGGTTGAAATAAAATCTCTGCCCTTTTCATGCCCATATATATAAATAGTATTGAGTTAGTTTCTTAAAAAATATTTGCATGGTCAGCAAGTGTAAAATTCTTTATATTCTGCATATTTGATTTCTTTTGTGTGGATTATGGAAATCGTTGTTCTATTGTATTTTTATGGTAGCCAAAGCATCGTAAATAACTAATCTGGGTGGACAGCAAAACTTGTCTACGGACATTTGGGTACACACATTACAATGTTGCTTGCACAACAAACTGTCCACCTCACTTCAATAAATTTGAATTCAGATTTTGGAAGAGCGCTAATGTCTGCATTTTGCAGATAAGAAGTGCCAAAGGAAACACAAAGATTGAATTGAATAGTCGTCAACTATTTACATTTTGCTGACTTTTTTTCTTGTTTACTTTATTAAGGGGAAGCCATTCAATGCATAAGATACATCAATAGTTAAAGCAGTTGGAATGAGGCATTTTATGATTTCTTTTTGTCAGCATGTGGGCTTTTCAGGGATAAGAAAATGAAAATGACTACTTTAACTGAATGCACACAATAATGTCAGTTAAGTTAAAGTACAAATGAAAAATGATTATAAGTATTAAAAAATATAAAAATGATAACTAAAAAAAAAAACTAATTGCCTTTTTTACTATCTTACAAAAAAGAAGCAAGTCATTGGAAAAATAGTAGCGAATTAATATTGCTAACAAAAGTACAAGTTTCAGTTACTAAAATTAATAGAATAAATATTTATATGATGGCTTTCTTAAGAAAAATTTATACTTAAAGCAAAACTTATATGTACGGCTTTGGATCAGTGGATTAAGTTGCGCTGACTCTGAGCTTCAAGTATGGCAGGGCACGAGTTCGATTCCTGGTACTTGTAGTCTCAAAAAATTATTTACGAGTAATTAAATACAAGAATTATTTCCAAGACCACTGATGATGGATATTTGGCAATATATCCATCCATTAAATCAATTAATTAAATAAAATGAGTTTTTGTTGTTGTAGTTTCACTACTGTTCGGAAAATCTCTTTAACTAATTCACTTTTATTCTGAACCGCAGATACTTATAAATGAAAATGAGAATTAAAATATGCAGTATATATGTATCTAAATCTGTAGAGCTAACACAAGATTATTGGTTAAATAATCAGCAACATTTTAGGGTAAAAATAAATACAAACAGGTGAAGATAAAAAGAAAAACATTTTCCTTACACATTTGTTGATTTGATTGATTTGAAAAGATTACTTCATTTGATTTTTTTTTTATTTCATTATAAAAAATGTATTTAGTTAGTACTAAATATCTAAATAAATACAAGCATATTTAATCAAACACATGTAGGAGTATATACTATACGCACCAATCCGTAGGAGATTGTGTTGTATTGATTGCGTTCAATGTAATCCGTTAAGTCAGTATTGAATGGAATTGACAAATGACAGGCTTTGAATCTCTGCCCATTGACTTGGAGAACAGATTTGATTGCGTTTGAGAGATTTGTTATTTGGAGATGACTTTCGTTTTTCCTGTCAGGCAAAAACTCTGTGAAAGATTGTTTCATATAGTAGGCGTTAAATGCTTTTAATAATTGGTTAGTTTTTGTTTTTTCACTTCAAGATGTTGTACATTTGAGTATAAAAACTGCAGTACAAATATTATTTGTTTTTAAAAACCAAACAATGAAATATTTTTTATCAACATTTGTCACAATTTAAGCTCATAAATGGCACGTTAATTTTTTTTTTATAGTATATATGTATTTCATTTTTCGATAAGTTATCATTTTACGAGTGCCAGGATTAAGGAAGCAAAAAAAAAACATAATTCTATTTTATGAAACTTTTGTCGCACTCGAAGCTACCCTAGCCACGTTCATGATTTGGACCAATTGTACTCTACACATAAATCTAAATTAAACTTTTTAGTAAGTGTGTATTATGGCCACAGTGTCCTGCACCGCTGCGGCTCGCATGGGGGTTTTTCTTATTGCGTATCCTTATAGAATCTTTGGGCGCATGGAACTGCGATGGTGTTCGTGCTGTTTTATGTTTGTTTACGATCGCAACAAAAATCCATTAATCATCACATAATTTTCTGGTGTTGCTCATATTTAAGAAACACATTCATAAAACCACCAAATCCACATTTGACAAATAGTCTTTACAAATGTCACATTTGTTAAATATTTACGCAGCAGCAGATTTTTTTCTCTTAATATTGTTTATATGAAGTTAAAATTAAAAACAAAAAATAAAAGAAAAACAAAAAAAAATTTTCATCAAAAGAAAATTATGTTTAGTATGATGAAATTATTATCTTTACTTTCACATTTTTGTGATTATGCTTTTTATAAAGAAAATTATTTTAATTATTACTACATTAAAATTTAATTCGAATTTATTAGACAATTAAATTATAAATTTAAATTATTGCTTTAAGCTTCATTTATTAGGAAAATGAAAATTTCAACACATCAGTTATGGATACGTAAGTACATCTGTCCGTTGACTTCTTTTATTTGAAGACCAACAACACACATTAACTCAATTTTGTTGAATTCACAAATTATAGCAACTTTGTTGGAAACATATTGGCAACATGTAAGATACTTTCTAGCTGATAGTAAGAGAAAATAAAAGATAGAATGGTCAAGTGATTTGATGCCCCGGTATTCCAATCGAAACATGACAAAATGAATGTAATCCTTCATCTATATAATAAACATCACAATATCCTGTGAGGATATCTGTTCAGATTAAAATTGTACTAATTTGCTTAAAAAGAAACCTTAATGTAGTGTTTAATGAAATAAACCACGTGTGTGAACATGTCGTTTCTTGACTCATTAGTTATCCTTAGAAACAAGTTTTTGACTATACTTTTACGGGTCACTAAAGCAACCTCAATTCCTTTATGTACTAAAGATGCAGTTACTATCGATAGTAAATTTTTTTTTCTATATCTCCCAAATTATGTATATGATGAACTACTGAACCATGTATGATACTGCATCAATTAACAATTGACTTCGCATATGACTTTATAGCACCCTAACTATCAGAGTAGATACTATCTTTTTAAGTCCATTGCTCTTGACAGTGTGTGTATGTGTAAAACATTAATTGTTATAATGTTCATAACAAAGAAATATTATATACTAAAAAATATATTATAATCCCTAAAAGCAGTTTATACTCAACAACTAAGTTGCCTATTAAGTAGTAAATACCCGGAGATAACTAAAAGAAACTAAGTAGTATGAATTCTTGTTATTCTTTAAGATTGACTTGGTTTAAATTTGATTAAAACGCACCAATCAACTGCTTCAACTAAAGCGAAATTTACTCAATACTACGGTATCGGTGCAAATAAACCCCGGCATATTAGGAAGACATGCAATGAGACTTGATATATTCCTTAATGCTTATTGCCGTGATTGTAGATCTACGGAGGACAGGGAATCAATATTTTAAATTATGTTTCAGTGCCCATCTTTATTCAGTATACTAAAAATTTTTAAAACTCTTTTTTATACCGACTTGTCATCTTTCAAAATTAACGTGAGAATATTTTCAGAATTAATAGTAGTCATTACTTTTTTGTAATTTAACTAAAGATTTAAAGAAGTAAAGTATAAGATTTATATTGCAGGTATTAAAATTAACCTATACATGTAGACTTTTAGGTACATATACCAAAGAGAGTAAACGCTTTCTTACACGGATATTGGTAGAACCAGCAATTCTGTCCGGACAAGAAAACCTTTTGGATGATTGTACAGAATTTCAATATTGTATATTAAACAACAATAATTTATTTTTATTAGAATATG